ATATAGCGAATGCGGGGTCCGGGGAGAGCGGATATAGCGAATGCGGGGTCCGGGGAGAGCGGATATAGCGAATGCGGGGTCCGGGGAGAGCGGATATAGGGAATGCGGGGTCCGGGGAGAGCGGATATAGCGAATGCGGGGTCCGGGGAGAGCGGATATAGCGAATGCGGGGTCCGGGGACAGCGGATATAGCGAATGCGGGGTCCGGGGAGACCGGATATAGCGAATGCGGGGTCCGGGGACAGCGGATATAGCGAATGCGGGGTCCGGGGACAGCGGATATAGCGAATGCGGGGTCCGGGGAGAGCGGATATAGCGAATGCGGGGTCCGGGGACAGCGGATATAGCGAATGCGGGGTCCGGGGACAGCGGATATAGCGAATGCGGGGTCCGGGGAGAGCGGATATAGCGAATGCGGGGTCCGGGGAGAGAGCGGGTGTAGCGAATGTGGGGTCCGGGGAGAGAGCGGGTGTAGCGAATGCGGGGTCCGCGGAGAGAGCGGGTATAGCGAATGCGGGGTCCGGGGCAAGAGCAGATATAGCGAATGCGGAGTCCGCGGAGAGCGGGTATAGCGAATGCGGGGCCCAGTCAGAGAGCGGATATAGCGAATGCGGGGTCCGGGGAGAGCGGATATAGCGAATGCGGGGTCCGGGGAGAGCGGATATAGCGAATGAGGGGTCCGGGGAGAGCGGGTATAGCGAATGCGGGGTCCGGGGAGAGCGGGTATAGCGAATGCGGGGTCTGCGGAGAGCGGGTATAGCGAATGCGGGGTCCGCGGAGAGCGGGTATAGCGAATGCGGGGTCCGGGGAGAGAGCGGGTATAGCGAATGCGGGGCCCGGTCAGAGAGCGGATATAGCGAATGCGGGGCCCGGTCAGAGAGCGGATATAGCGAATGCGGGGTCCGGGGAGAGCGGATACAGTGAGTTTGGGGTCCGGGGAGAGCGGATACAGTGAATGCGTTGTCCGGGGAGAGCGGATACAGTGAATGCGGGGTCCGGGGAGAGCGGATACAGTGAATGCGGGGTCCGGGGAGAGCGGATACAGTGAATGCGGGGCCCGGTCAGAGAGCGGATATAGCGAATGCGGGGCCCGGGGAGAGCAGGTATAGCGAATGCGGGGTCCGAGGAGAGAGCGGGTATAGCGAATGCGGGGTCCGCGGAGAGCGGGTATAGCGAATGCGGGGCCCGGTCAGAGAGCGGATATAGCGAATGCGGGGCCCGGTCAGAGAGCGGATATAGCGAATGCGGGGTCCGGGGAGAGCGGATACAGTGAGTTTGGGGTCCGGGGAGAGCGGATACAGTGAATGCGGGGTCCGGGGAGAGCGGATACAGTGAATGCGGGGTCCGGGGAGAGCGGATATAGTGAATGCGGGGTCCGGGGAGAGCGGATATAGTGAATGCGGGGTCCGGGGAGAGCGGATACAGTGAATGCGGGGTCCGGGGAGAGCGGATACAGTGAATGTGGGGTCCGGGGAGAGCGGATACAGTGAATGCGGGGTCCGGGGTTTAGTAACACTTTCATGCAGAAAATTCATTAATGTAAAAAACAAAACAAAAATAAAACCTTTTCCCTTTACAACCACTTTAAATCTTTCCTAGCAGTGAGATCTCCATCGGCTCTATGCCTCCATTTTCTTGTGTTGCTCCTCTACCACCATTCTTTATAGACAGACATGAAACCTTTGCTGGAGGGTTGAATGAAGATCATCGGAGTATTGCTTGCTGCACTTTCTGTGCCTTTTCCTATAATGCGGTTATATTAAAAGGTTTCTTAACGGCAAACTTTCTAGTAAAGATATAAATATCAAAAGTCTGAGATTTATTCAATTTTCTTTGAGGGACACAATTTATCCCTTGCCCCAGGGTTTTCAATGAACTGTCCGCAGGGGGGGAGCACAGGAAGTATATCTGGCTGGATGAACCACTTTCTTTAATGCATGTTGGACTGATAGAACAAATTGTTTTCAATCGTATTTTTTAACAGACGATAAAGAAGAAAATGAGATACATTTATTACCAGAGTTCACATTATTTCAAAGCCGTTATAAAGCCTCAAGGATCTTTACTGTACCTTCATGCCCCCAGCCCCCCACTAAAACTTACCTGAGCCCCAATCCAGCAATGTGCATGAGAGCCTCAGCTTTCCCAGGTCTCTCCCGCCTCATTGACTGAGACAGCAGCGGTAGCCATTGGTCCTGCTACTGTAAATCACAGTGAACCAATGGGGATAGGGCTGGGAAGGGGGGGGGGCTGAGCCACGATCCATGTATGAATGGGTGCCCCCATAGCAAGCTGCTGCTATGGGGGCACTAGGAAGCTGGTTGGGGACCCAAGAAGAGAGGGGGATGAGCCACGATCCATGTATGAATGGGTGCCTCCATAGCAAGCTGCTGCTATAGGGGCACCCAAGAAGAGAGGGGGATGAGCCACGATCCATGTATGAATGGGTGCCTCCATAGCAAGCTGCTGCTATAGGGGCACTAGGAAGCTGGTTGGGGACCCAAGAAGAGAGGGGGATGAGCCACGATCCATGTATGAATGGGTGCCCCCATAGCAAGCTACTGCTATGGGGGCACTAGGAAGCTGGTGGGAGACCCAAGAAGAGAGGGGGGCTGAGCCACGATCCATGTATGAATGGGTGCCCTCATAGCAAGCTGTTGCTATGGGGGCACTAGGAAGCTGGTTGGGGACCCAAGAAGAGAGGGGGCTGAGCCACGATGCATGTATGAATGGGTGCCTCCATAGCAAGCTGCTGCTATGGGGCACTAGGAAGCTGGTTGGGGACCCAAGAAGAGAGGGGGGATGAGCCACGATCCATGTATGAATGGGTGCCCTCATAGCAAGCTGCTGCTATGTGGGCACTAGGAAGCTGGTTGGGGACCCAAGAAGAGAGGGGGATGAGCCACGATCCATGTATGAATGGGTGCCCTCATAGCAAGCTGCTGCTATGTGGGCACTAGGAAGCTGGTTGGGGACCCAAGAAGAGGGGGGGGGGGCTGAGCCACGATCCATGTATGAATGGGCTCCTCTATAGCAAGCTGCTGCTATGGGGGCACTAGGAAGCTGGTGGGGTACCCAAGAAGAGGAGGATCTAGGCTACTCTGTGCAAAACCATTGCACAGAACAGGTAAGTATGACATTTTTTAATTAAAAAAAAAAAAAAAAAATAGCCTTTAATATCACTTTAGGGTTCCATCATCCTTCCATTCACCAAACTGAAAGTGAGGCATTCTGTGAATGGATAAGGGGAAAGTAGGGGTGGACAAATGCAAGTTCTCATAGTTGCAGCTCTGGAAGTATAGTGAAAGCAAGACTATTCCCCATCAATGAAACTATAAAGAAATGGAAGATCCTGGAAATAGCATACACCCCAGGAGAGGTAACAATTGATTACACAACACAGTTTAAAGGAAAACATTTGCCTGGAGTGAATGTCTGGGTGAATGTGACTAACAACTTACTAGCTGTCTGGGTTAAAAAAAACAGGGCTTTTTTTTCTCAGAGAATAGGTGCAGGGACTCCCTACCTTTTGCGTCACCCCCTACCCACATCCAAGCATCATCCCTTGGTTTCACCCCCTACCCACCTCCAAGCACTGTCCCTTGGTTCCACCCTCTACCCACCTCCAAGCATTGTCCCTTGGTTCCACCCCCCACCCACCTCCAAGCATTGTCCCTTGGTTCCAACCCTACCACCTCCAAGTACATTGTCCCTTGGTTCCACCACCTACCCACCTCCAAGCACCGTCCCTTGGTTCCACCCCTTACTCACCTCCAAGCATTGTCCCTTGGTTCCACCCCCTACTCAGCTCCAAGCATTGTCCCTTGGTTCCACCCCTACCCACCTCCAAGCACCGTCCCTTGGTTCCACCCCTACCCACCTCCAAGCATTGTCCCTTGGTTCCAACCCCTACCCACCTCCAAGCACCGTCCCTTGGTTCCACCCTCTACCCACCTCCAAGCATTGTCCCTTGGTTCCACCCCCTACCCACTCCAAGCACCGTCCCTTGGTTCCACCCTCTACCCACCTCCAAGCACCGTCCCTTGGTTCCACCCCCTACCCACTTCCAAGCACCGTCCCTTGGTTCCACCCACCTCCAAGCACCGTCCCTTGGTTCCACCCCCACCCACCTCCAAGCACCGTCCCTTGGTTCCACCCCCACCCACCTCTAAGCACCGTCCCTTGGTTCCACCCCCACCCACCTCCAAGCACCGTCCCTTGGTTCCACCCCTACCCTTCTCCCCGTACTGTTCCTTTTAGAGAATACAGAATCAAGTATCATTTTGTGGTGCTAAATAATTTGTATGTAATGTGTTAATGATGATAAGAAAAGTAAAATATAGTAGATCCCCTGCATCCAGCAACAATAGACCTCCCCCCTCAGCAACAATGGACCCCCACAACAAAATACCACCCCAGCAACAATAGATCCAACCCAGCAACTATAGACCCCCAGCGTCAACAACAGATATCCCAGCAGCCAGCATCAATAGGCCCTCCAGCAGCCAGCAACCATAGATTCATCCCTCAACAGGAGATCCTTCCCAGCAATATAAGACCCTCCCAACAACAGTAGACCCTACTGCAAAAAATAGATTCCCACCAGTGGCAATAGATCCACCAGCTTCAATAGACCCTCCAGCAAGCCCCAGTCCCCCTTGCCATTACATACATTCAGTGCTGGAGGCGCACTGAAAAAAAGCCCTGGGCAGTAATGTGTTATCACATACCTTGGTGGAGGCCGAAGTGGTGAGAGGACTTCCCTCTGGTCCAAACACACCCAAATGTGGGAACAGGCATGAGAGGCTCAGGGTAGCATGGGAGCTGGAATCTGGACAGCAGGTGAGGATCAGTAGAGATCTGCAGGGATGGTGATGGTGATATGCAGATAGGACAGTCCGTGCACTGATGTGTGGAAATTCTGGACAGGGTCCGGAAGGCAGATCTGGTAACCAGGTTCCAAAGGATCAAGCAGAGAGGCCTGGAAGATGAAGCCAAGGTCATACATAGACGACTATAGAAGAGGCTGTAGTCAAGAGCCAGGCTGGATCATACACGGATGGGCAGAGACAGCAGAAGCAGGGTATGGAGACACGCCAGGCCAAGCATGGGAGGTCAAGCAGCAAGCTGGGGTCACAATCTGAAATCTTCTTACGTTTGGCAGCTTTTAGAGTTCCAACCATGGCTTCAAATAAATTGGCACATTGGTCATCATTAAATAATACACCAAATTTTACTTTCAGTTTCCCATCCTTGTCTCTTGTGCCAAGACGATGGATCTGCTCCACCAAGAGACTAATTTCATGGTCTACATTAATTATGAGAGATCAGAGGCATATCCAGGAACAGGAGTTGGTAAAGAGTAGTCAGGCAGCAGGATAACCAAGAAGCACAGGAACAAGGATCACGGAGAGCTGAAGAACATCCAGCAATCGGCACAAGTCAGAAGCTCCTTTAAATAGGCAGCTTGGCGTCACAATGCACACAAATGCGCCAGTGTGTCAGCGCCCGCTGTTTACTAGCCTTTCCATCTGTGTACTGACACATGCACATGAGCTGCAACAGTCCCGGCTCCCTGACATGTCTTCATAAAGTAACCACAGCCCCTGGCCCTCAAGCCCTGCACGCTAATTTGTAAATCAAATCCAGTATTTATCCAGTTACTCACAATTGCAATCCACCTCCTGGTAAGTAGAGGCACTGGTGATGCAGCCAGGGCCTCACAGGTGGACCCTGGGAAGGCTACGTCACCAGGGCTTTCCAGTGAGCTCCTGAATCCTGAGAGATCTCAGAAAAAAGTTCCTGCTAAAGCAAACTGCATCAGATCTCTAAACGCACCCAAGAGATCTGGAGCGGACTCTATCGGTTGGCCAGCCAGAGAACCATTAGGAAGCCGGCCAATGATGACATTTTTAAAAATGGCGGAGGTTGCAGAATGGTTGGTATAGTCAGAAGATATCCTGTGGGAATGTAGCAAGAGATGAAAAAGAAAGGTCCATATGGTATTCGCAGTATTTATCCAGTTACTCACAATTGCAATCCACCTCCTGGTAAGTAGAGGCACTGGTGATGTAGCCAGGGCCTCACAGGTGGACCCTGGGAAGGCTACATCTCCAGGGCTTTCCAGAGAGCTCCTGCATCCTGAGAGATCTCAGAAAAAAGTTCCTGCTAAAGCAAACTGCATCAGATCTCTAAACGCACCCAAGAGATCTGGAGCGGGCTCTATCGGTTGGCCAGCCAGAGAACCATTAGGAAGCTGGCCAATGATGACATTATTTTTAAAAATGGCGGAGGTTGCCGGATGGTTGTCATAGGCTGAAGATATCCTGTGGGAATGTAGCAAGAGATGAAAAAGAAAGGACCATATGGTATGCGCAGTATTTATCCAGTTACTCACAATTGCAATCCACCTCCTGGTAAGTAGAGGCACTGGTGATGCTGCCAGGGCCTCACAGGTGGACCCTGGGAAGACTACGTCACCAGGGCTTTCCAGAGAGCTCCTGCATCCTGAGAGACCTCAGAAAAACGTTCCTGCTACAGCAAACCGCATCAGATCTCTAAAATGCACCCAAGAGATCACACAAGCAACAAGGCTGAATACACCAGGTGCCAGGTTATGGGCACTTCTTTTGTGAGGTCAATATTTTACAGTTATGTCCCCGCTATTAAAGTAAAAGTGCTTTAAAACTACATTACGGGATGTCTATTTTCTTATACATGCTGAGTACTTGCTAATTTTACCTGTGGAGGAGAGAGTTGGTATTGATACAGCACTTTTGGAGGAACAACCGGTTTCCATTAGCAACACTGCATACTGGGAGAGTCCCAAAAACGATCATCCTAGAGAAAGGTGGTCACGGGATGACGGTGAGTGTCAGTCCATGTGGGGCACCAGTCTGAGCACAGTGGAGCACTTGTTATTGTACACGGAGCTCACAATCAAGAATTTTAGCACTTTGCACTTTGTTTTCACTTATTGGGACTGAATTATTAATATTAGTATCAATATTGTTTTCCATATATTGTCACAAAGATATTCATATTTTGCACTTTTTATGCGTGGTCTATATGGTATTCCTGGTAAGTAGAGGAACTGGTGATGCAGCCAGGGCCTCACAGATGGACCCTGGGAAGGCTACATCACCAGGGCTTTCCATAGGTTGCAGAATGGTTGGCATAGGCAGGAGATATCCTGTGGGAATGTGGCAAGAGATGAAAAAGAAAGGTCCATATGGTATTTGCAGTATTTATCCAGTTACTCACAATTGCAATCCACCTCCTGGTAAGTAGAGGCAACTGGTGATGCAGCCAGGGCCTCACAGATGGACCCTGAGAAGGCTACGTCACCAGGGCTTTCCAGAGAGCTCCTGTATCCTGAGAGATCTCAGAAAAGTGTTCCTGCTAAAGCAAATCTCATCAGATCTCTAAATGCACCCAAGAGATCTGGAGCGGACACTATCGGTTGGCCAGCCAGAAAACCATTAGGAAGCCGGCCAATGATGACATTATTTTAAAAATGGCGAAGGTTGCCGGATGGTTGTCATAGGCAGAAGATATCCTGTGGGAATGTGGCAAGAGATGAAAAAGAAAGGTCCATATTGTATTCGCAGTATTTATCCAGTTACTCACAATTGCAATCCACCTCCTGGTAAGTAGAGGCACTGGTGATGCTGCCAGGGCCTCACAGATGGACCCTGGGAAGGCTACGTCACCAGGGCTTTCCAGAGAGCTCCTGCATCCTGAGAGATCTCAGAAAAACGTTCCTGCTAAAGCAAACTGCATCAGATCTCTAAACGCACATGTCAGAAGCTCCTTTAAATAGGCAGCTTGGCGCCATTCCGGGGATTGGACGTACTTGGGCATGCATCAATGCACATGCCCTAATGCACACAAATGCACCAATGTGTCAGCGCACACTGTTTCCTAGCCTGTCCATCTGTGTACTGACACATGCACATGAGCTTTAGGTGCAAGAGTCCCGGCTCCCTGACATGTCTTCATAAAGTAACCAGAGCCCCTGGCCCCCAAGCCCTGCACACTAATTTGTAAATCAAATCCAGTATTTATCCAGTTACTCACAATTTCAATCCACCTCCTGGTAAGTAGAGGCACTGGTGATGCATCCAGGGCCTCACAGGTGGACCCTGGGAAGGCCAAGTCACCAGAGCTTTCCAGAGAGCTGTATCCTGAGAGATCTCAGAAAAATGTTCCTGCTAAAGCAAACCTCATCAGATCTCTAAATGCACCCAAGAGATCTGGAGTGCACTCTATCGGTTGGCCAGCCAGAGAACCATTAGGAAGCCGGCCAATGATGACATTATTTTTAAAAAATGGCGGAGGTTGCCAGATGGTTGTCATAGGCTGAAGATATCCTGTGGAAATGTGGCAAGAGATGAAAAAGAAAGGTCCATATGGTATTCGCAGTATTTATCCAGTTACTCACAATTGCAATCCACCTCCTGGTAAGTAGAGGCAATGGTGATGCATCCAGGGCCTCACAGGTGGACCCTGGTAAGGCTACGTCACCAGGGCTTTCCAGAGAGCTCCTGTATCCTGAGAGATCTCAGAAAAACATTCCTGCTAAAGCAAACCTCATCAGATCTCTAAACACACCTAAGAGATCTGGAGCGGACACTATTGGCTGGCCAGCCAGAGAACCATTAGGAAGCTGGCCAATGATGACATTATTTTTAAATATGGCGGAGGTTGCCAGATGGTTGTCATAGGCAGGAGATATCCTGTGGGAATGTGGCAAGAGATGAAAAAGAAAGGTCCATATGGTATTCGCAGTATTTATCCAGTTACTCACAATTACAATCCACCTCCTGGTAAGTAGAGGCAATGGTGATGTAGCCAGGGCCTCACAGGTGGACCCTGGGAAGGCTACGTCACCAGGGCTTTCCAGAGAGCTCCTGAATCCTGAGAGACCTCAGAAAAACGTTTCTGCTAAAGCACACCTCATCAGATCTCTAAACGCACCCAAGAGATCTGGAGCGGACACTATCGGTTGGTCAGCCAGAGAACCATTAGGAAGTGGCCAATGATGACATTATTTTTAAAAATGGCGGAGGTTGCCGGATGGTTGTCATAGGCTGAAGATATCCTGCGGGAATGTGGCAAGAGATGAAACAGAAAGGTGCCATACACAGTAGGTATGATAGGATGTTTCATTGAATACCTTTAGAATAGTGTAGGTGATTATAAAGAGGGGGGGGGGGGGGGGGATCTATTGCTTTGAAATAAAGTCATTGCCATTGGGACACCCATCAGTGAACAAGCATGAGCAATGTGATGAATGCTGTATATGCGTTGATGCTCCCGTCAAAGATCAATGTTGAACATGTCTGACCACCATCTCGCAGCTGTAGAGATTTACTGTTTTAAGAACTTTTGTAAGACTAAATTTTCCCAGGATGCACCAAGGGCTCCTCTTATTTATCAGTACTGTCTCCCTTTACTCTGTTCTATACACAAGAGAATTGTCATCACAACTCCTTTTATTTGTCATGGAAGGAATATATAACTCTGCATTGCAACTGAGCTTTTACTTAGGCGGCTGCATTAATAGCACTTACTCTAAATGAATTGACTGTAACTCATGATGTAGAGATATTACGCAGGTATTTCAGGGTATAGTGTGGTCCGTGGGTGAAAACTGGTGTTAACAGGAATTTGTCAAGAGGAAAAAAAAAAAAAAACCTTTGTTCTTAACAAACGTTCCCTTCCTTCTGGTTCTAGGGGATTGCCTTCGCTTGCAGGGAAGAAAAAAAGGTTCAACTTTAATGCCCCTATACTAGGAAGCAGTTCTGCAATCGGAGAAAAGAAATTCCCACCAGAGGCTGCCTGGATGTGTATGTTCCTTTGTAACAGATGCCGCACATACATATTTCGCTTCCTTTCAAAATAAAGACCTGGACAGGTTAAACCTTGCTAAAATCCAAACTTCCTCTCGTTTTAAGTCCTTGTTTGGTCCATACAGTAGGGAAAATAATGATTTGATCCCCTGCAGATTTTGTACGTTTGCCCACTTACACAGAAATGAAGGGTCTATCATTATTATCATAGGTGTATTTTAAACGATAGAGACAGAATATAAAAATCTAGAAAAAGCACGATACAAGTGTTATAAGTTGAGTTGCAGTTCTGTGAGTAAAATACATTTTTGATCATGGCTTAGTACTTGGTGGAGAAACCCTTGTTGGCAAGCACAGAGGTAAGACGTTTCTTGTAGTTGGTTCCCAGGTTTGCACACATCTGAGGAGGGATTTTGGTCCACTCTTCTTTACATATCTTCCCTAAATCCTTAATGTTTCTTGGC